AATAACGGTTTCAGAATACAAAAAACCTAAAAAGATATAAACCTACCTGTTAAAAAGTTATTAAGTGGCCACACTGGGAAATTGAGGAAGAGGGGAGAGGCAGGACAAGTTCGTTTTTTAAATTTTTGACTACATTATTTGCATTTTGTTATGAACATGTATTAGTTTTATATTAAGAACTTTTTGCAGAACAACACAAACAAAAGCCATTATTTCAGAGTCAAAATTTGAAAAAACCTAACACGCAACCATAGGGGTTGTTCAAACACCTCTCTATAATGGAATACTATTAGCAACAGTGTGTAGAAACAGAATTTCATTCATTGCTGCTGGTTGTATAAATCAGTACAATGCGTATGAAGGGCAATTTTTCAAAATCCATCAAAGTTACAGACACATATACCCTTTGACCCAGTAATACTACTGTGGAGAGTCCGTCTTATAGAAGAATACATGCATAGACATATATACAAGGCATATAAAATTTTTTTTTATATCCTTTCATTGTTTGTAATATTAATCAGCAAATGTATTGGTTAGAGCACGGTGTTACAACATCAAGGTCAAGGGTTCGGACCCCCATACCAGCCAGCGGCCAAACAACAAAACAGCAAATCAACAAGGGACTGGTTACATAAACCTTGGTACATCCATACCACCAGCAGTTCTCCAGGGAGTGGTAAAGCAAGATCACCAGAGTGACAGTGTAAAGGAAAAAGGGTAGGTACAGGCAGAATGGTGAGATCAGAAGTTGAACTTTTGTGTTTTGGTTTTTTTTAAAGGAAATCGATCTTTCTTTGGTTTTATTTCACAAAATAAAACAATGAAAGCAATAATAAGAAACTAAGAAGCGGGCCGGCCCGTGGCTCACTCGGTAGAGTGCGGTGCTGATAACACCAAGGCCACGGGTTCGGATCCTATATAGGGATGGCCGGTTTGCTCACTGGCTGAGCGTGGTGCTGACAACACCAAGCCAAGGGTTGAGATCCCCTTACCGGTCATCCTTTAAAAAAAAAAAAAAAAGAAAAGAAACTAAGAAGCGGGCCGGCCCGTGGCTCACTCGGTAGAGTGCGGTGCTGATAACACCAAGGCCACGGGTTCGGATCCTATATAGGGATGGCCGGTTTGCTCACTGGCTGAGCGTGGTGCTGACAACACCAAGCCAAGGGTTGAGATCCCCTTACCGGTCATCCTTTAAAAAAAAAAAAAAAAAAGAAAAGAAACTAAGAAGCGTATGGATGGGAATGGCAGAGGGAGGGGAAAGACACCCAGAAATGGTCAAATGGTAACACAACTATAGCAAGGAACAATTTCCCTAAAAACCTTTTTTGTTTTAATACTGACCACAGCTTTTTCAAAAGGGATAATCAGGAAAGCTTTTATCTTGTCAAAAAATAAAAATAAGAACCCAGTGTCATACTGATAGATGCAACAAATGAATCTCATAGACACTATCTTGAGTGGACACACAAAAAAGCACACAGTACATAATTCCTGTTTAAGAACAGAAATTAAGGCAAAACTAACTGATGTGATAGAAATAAGAGTTACACCCTCTGAGGATACTGACTGAGAAGAGGACAAGGAACCCTTGGACAATGGACTGTTCTATATCTTGATCTGGGTGGGTGATGGGTATATATGCGTGAAAATTCACCTAGCTGTACAATGAAATTAGTGCACTTGATGTACTTTACTCTGTGCATGTCTAGATATATATAATTATACTCCAAAATATTAGCAATATCAAAAATGTTTTTGAGGAATACAATGGTAAAATGTCTACAATATGGAAAAAAAAAAGTCAAAAAAGGTAGGATTTTATACTGATAGGAATATGAGCATACTTCTGATTTAGAATAAGAAGTAGTAAGAGAAAAAAAATTAAAGAAAATACACCAAAGTGGGGGCCGGCCCGTGGCTCACTCGGGAGAGTGCGGTGCTAGTAACACCAAGGCCGCGGGTTCGGATCCCATATAGGGATGGCCGGTTCGCTCACTGGCTGAGCGTGGTGCTGACAACACCAAGGCAAGGGTTAAGATCCCCTTACCGGTCATCTTTTGAAAAAAAAAAAAAAAGAAAATACACCAAAGTGGTAACTGAAAGTGGTAGAATTTTCTTTATACTTCACTATATTTTCAAAATTCTCTACACTTAAAATCAGATACAAGGGCTGGCTTGTGGCTCACTCGGGAGAGTGCAGTGCTGGTAACACCAAGGCCATGGGTTCGAGTCCTATATAGGGATGGCCGGTTCGCTCACTTGGGAGAGTGTGGTGCTGACAACACCAAGCCAAGGGTTAATTAAGATCCCCTTACCGGTCATCTTTAAAAAAAAAAAAAAAAATCAGATACATATTTTTAATTCAGAAAAAAACAGCAATTAGATCTGGGGTTGGAGATTGTAACAACAACAAAAAAAGATCTGTAAATTTAATTAAAAGAACCTTAAAACATTTAAAATACGACAACCTTGGTACACCCTTGAGTGAGTGACTATAAACGGCCGGGTTAACAACCAAACTGTGTAAACACAGCCTATTTATTTTATAAAGAACAAGATATCCAGAAAGGGAAGGGAAAAAAAACCTAAAATATTTAAGAGAAACTACTGTGTTGGGGATACAGGGACAAGAAACTAGAAAATTACAAGTTTTCTCACAGATAATATAGAAGAACTAAAACCTGTTTAAAACTCCGAAGGCTCAGTTTTTACTTGCCTTTGCTCTGGAGGTAATGACCCTAAGGATGTTAAAAATCCAAGAAGAAAGGCAGTAAGATTTTAAAAAATAAATTTCTAGACCTACTCCAATTTGTAGGGAAGAAATAAACTAATACTGAGTGGCTAACTGTTACTTTAGTAGGTTTTTATTTTACCCCCAACCATTAAGATCTATAGGGAGTACCTTGTCTTAGCTCTCCACAATCAGAAGCCAAATTTTAATCTTTACCCAAAACAAGTAGTTTATTCTAGATTCTCTTCGTTATTTTAAGTGGAGAGTATTTTGATGATATTAATTTCTAATGACCAAAAGGAAGAAAAATCTCTTATCTACTCCACTTTTGGGCACTAGAGATGCAGGGTCACTCAATTCCAGCAGCCGCTGCATTATCAGAGGGAAACCCATTCAAGCAGAAAGATGGGTAAGAGCAGATAAACAACAGAAATGGGCTGCATCTGGTTGTCGAACTTAAATGAGAATGTGGTATTGAGTTCAGCAACACAATCTTGGGCAGTTAAGGAGAGAATAGAAGGACAAGCCAAATACCTGTGGCTAAAACCACCTCCAAATAACTTGTATCAAATAGCCTTTATTAGGCATATTACTTGGGGAAACTGTAGGGAAGAAGAAGAGAAAGGAGGAATTTACGTGTTCTTAAGTATCACATAAAATATTAGTTTAGGCAAAATCATACATATGCTGTTCAACAGATGACTCTTTAAATTTCATAGGACAAAAATATTTGTTATTAGAGAGAAACAATGAAGCTCATGTGAAACAACACATGGGCTACCAAATTTCCAGGGATTCAGGGAGGAAGTTTTATAAAAATAATGTGTTTTTAAAAGTTAAATAGTCCTTTCACCTTCATCATCATCATCACTCCCAAGTTACTATGGCTATCTTTTGCCTAATTATCAAAAGCACCCAGAACTCACTAACCCTTCACTGACAGTAATATCAGATGAGAGGCCAAAGTTCACTGGGACTCTAATATTTACTGGCATTAGTTTCCCTTGAGTTGGTGGGTTTTTTTTAAAGCCTCCTGAAACCTTAAGTAAACAAATCCAACAGTCAGTGAAAACTGACACACCCAGAAACTCTCAGTGAAACATTTACTTCATAGTTCACAATAGACTGTCCTATTCCATCTAGAGGTAGTCCTAAAGGTCGAATAAAAGCACTCCCTAACACCTTCACATTTTATAGGGGGAAAATGGACTAGGAACAGGGACATAGGAACTATTGTCTCAGTGGTAAACACATGCCACACCCTTTCTGGCTTTCCTAAGACTGCTTTGTTTTTGCTTCTTAACTAAGTAGAAAAAATTTCACCTATGTTTCTATATTTCCTTAAAAATAAATAAATAAATAAATAAATAAAATAATTAGACCTATAGGATGATAGAGCTAAATGAGCCTTCAGGATTACCTATGTTATTACCCTAGACCTGCCCAGCAGCATCCATCATAAACCCTCCCCATCCCACTCCCACTGGCCAAAACCAAGCTATCCTAGAGCCAGTGTCCAGGATTCTCAACTAACCTTCATGGCAAGAAATCAATCTGGTCAAAGAAACCTGTGATGGCAGTTTCTGAGGTTGCTTCTAACAGCATTCCCACATAGGAGTTCTGAGAAAGTCTCACTCCAAACATCTCTAAAGACAGTTTAGTAACATTCATTTGAGAGAGATTTTTAGAGAGAGGGACTTTCCGGGCTTTCAGCACATCACATGATATAGGAAGCCTGGTAAGATTAATACATACAAAAAAGCAAGTTTCCCTAATCTCTCTTTACCTCACTAAAGTATTTCTTACATAAATATTAGTACAGAATTAGTCACTGTGGTTTGCCACGTTGTTATCCATGTAAAAAGTTTAAAGACCTGCCACCTGCCACCATTCCAAAAACACCCTTGCCAATCTTGACCCAAGACAACACCCTGGGCAATGGTGTTTCCTCTGAAATGGTGAGCAGCAAAATAAAACGGAGTGGAAGGAAGGAGTTGTTTTGCAAAGGCCAAGTTCTTTCTGCATGATCCCTTTAAGAAACCATTTCTTTTCAAGGAAATACACTAAATCCATTTTACCTTGTAGTAAAATAATTTCCACTTATTCCACCTTCTTAAGATTCTAAGTAAAAATCAAAGCAACAACTTAGCAACACACACAAACAATAATCCTAAGAACAAAGTTGAACAAAGCACTAAAAATTTAGCAGCAGAAACCTGGGGTTTTTAATAAAAGATTGAAGGTTTTATTTTTTTTTTATACTTACCCATTCTTCGACATTAGGGGGCTGCTCATCATAAATGTGTTCTTTGTCCCACAAAATATTGGACTTATCATACCGGTCCATCTTTCTTCGAGTTTTCACAGCATAGAAAATTATTAAAGCAAAAGCCAGAATAATCAGGAATCCCAGAACAATGGCAATGGCCTAAAAAGGGATCAAAGATATTGGCATAATTAGATTAATTGCTTACTTAATCGAATTCCCAAATCCCTCTACAAATTATTAAAACCCATAAGGCCCTACTAAATATCTGTGGTTTAACTGATATAAAACTGAAGCAAAGGGCCGGCCCGGGGCTCACTTGGGAGAGTGCAGTGCTGATAACATCAAGGCCGCGGGTTCAGATCCCTATATAGGGATGGTCGGTTAGCTCACTTCGGAGAGCGTGGTGCTGACAACACCAAGTCAAGGGTTAAGATCCCCTTACCAGTCATCTTTTTTAAACAAACAAACAAAAAAACTGAAGCAAAAAGTTACACTGTAGATATATCATAAAACCTAATCCATACCAACTGGACTAAGGCCAGCAGAACACACACACATACACACATACATACACTAATTGATTCAATCCTAAGAACATGCTTAAAGTTAGGTATTATCATCACTCCATTTCAGAGCTTTAGAAAACTAGTTCGAAGCTTGTGCACTTTATAAACAGATAAGAATGAGCAGTAAATTAATTCAATCATTGGTATACCTCTGAAGGGCTTGAAAAATGTCGTTCTCAGAAGTTGCTTTAAAATACCCAATCACACTTATAATCTTATTCATAACATGTGTTGGACAAATCTTTTACACTGAATGTAAATTTCAGTCCACAGAGGATCTGTCTTACCATAAACGAAGACATGGATGTAACCAAGCTATAAATTAGAGCAAGTAAATTAATGATTCATTTAGTCTGGCAAGTTTCTCTGTTTTGTAGTCTTGTGTACTTATCAGAAAGGGCCCTGTGAAAAAGAAACTTCCCACTCTTGACAGTTCTCCCAGTGTGTCTGATAGATATAATAAGCAGTACACTGGCCTGGGAGACACTTGAAGCGGAGGCAGGGACCAGGCCTCTGTCCTGGATGTCTACAAATGAGTAACAGGAGGCTCTCCTGGCTGTCTGACAGTGACATTCTTTTTCAAAGAATACAGATTGCAAGTAGTCAGAGGACTAAGAGGAGTGGAGGATGTGGAAGATAGGAGTACCAACCCTTTTTACCACTGGATACCTGTGAATGGTAACAACAAACACTGAAAACCGACATCTGCAGGGAAAACATTCAGTCTTCAAACTAATGGTAGACAGTTAACTGGAGAAGGTCTAACCCTGAAAGAGTGCCTCATTCAGGTAAAAGAATGGGAATTCCTGAGTCAGTGTAAGGATGAAAAAAGAAAAACAAATAAACAAACAAAAACAAGGGGAAAAAAATGAGTAACTCAGAAACATTTCGGGTGTTAATATAATTAAAATGACTCATGGTTACTGAAGACAGGATTACAACCTCACCTGCACATTTGAATCACCTGGATAGATTTTTTTTAAATATTGACTTAAAGACAACCTACATAAATCTAATGACATCCTATGTTCATTGATCAGAACACATCATTGTAAAGATGACAATACTCCTCCAATTGATCTACAGATTCAATGCAACCCTTCGAAGTCCTAGCTGGCTTTTTTGCAGAAATTGACAAGCTGGTCCTAAAATTCATACAGAAATGCAAGGAACCCAGAATCTAGCCAAAACAATCTTTAAGAACAAAGCTGGCGTACTCCCACTCCACAATTTCAAACACTACAAAGCTACAGTAATGAAGATAGTGTGGTCCTGGCATAAGAATAGAAATATAAATTAGTGGAATAGAACTGAGAGTCCAGAAATAAATGTTCACATTTGTGGACTCCCTCTTTGCACCTTGTCCAAAATTAACTCAAATGGATCATAGACCTAACTGTAAGAGCTAAAATTATAAAACTTCTTAGAAGAAAACATAGGAGGAAATCTTTCTGACCTTGAATGAGGCAAAACATTCTTAAATATGACACCAAAAGCACAAGCAACAAAAAATTAAATAAACTGAACATCTAAACTAAAAACCTTTATGAAAAGGACACCATCAAGAAAGTGAAAAGCAAATGACAAAAGAGAAAATATTTGCAAATCATTTATCTAAGAAGGGACTTGTATCCATAGTATGAGTATATATAAAGAACTCTTACAACTCAATAATAAAAAGAAAAATAGCCCAATTAAAAAATAGGCAAATTATCATTTCTCCAAAGAAGGTAAAGAAAGGGCCAGTAACTACATGAAAAGATGCTCAACATCATTAGCTATCAAGGAAATGCAAATCAAAACCACTTCACACCCTTTCGCATGGCTAGAATCAAACAGATGGACAATAACAAGGATTGGTGAAGATGTGGAGAAATTAGAACCCTTATACATTTCTGGTAGGAATGAAAAATGGTGCAAACTCTTTGGAAAAGTCTGGCAGTTCCTCAAAACGTTAAAAAGAGTCACCATATAACCCAGCAATTCTACCCCTAGATGGAATATACCCAACTCAAGAGATATTAAAACAGAGGTTCACAAAAAAAATTGTACACAAATGTTCATAGCATCTTCGTAATAGCCAATGTGGAAACAGTTCAAATGTCCATCAACTAATGGATAAATATAATGTGGTACATCCATACGGTGGAATATTAGCAATAAAAATGAAGGACTGGCACATGCTGTAACTTGTATAAACCTTAAACATTATGCTAAGTGGAAAGAAGCCAATCACAAAAGAGAGCATATTGTGTGATTCTGTTTGTATGAAATACCCATAGAATAAGCAAATCTATAGAGGTAGGATTAGTGGTTGCCTAGGGCTAGGGAGGGTTAGGGAAATATGGAGCAACTGTTTCTTTTGGGATAGTGAAAATGTTCTCAAATTGATTGTGGTGATGGTCGCACAATTCTGTGACTATACTAAAAACCACTGAACTGTTCTTTAAATTGGTGAATTATATGGTGTGTTAATTATATCTTAATAATGACACCCAGCCCCTACCCTAGATTCTGATTTAATTAAAAGTAGGGCCTTAACGTCAATATTTTGAAGTTCTCAGAGTGATTCTAATACATATTCCAAGTTGAGAGCCTATAACCTAAGGAGGGGAGAAAAAACTAAAACACTACTCATACCTCCTGGGGATCCACCACACAGTAGTGGTACAAATACTGATCCACATACAGTCCAGTAGTTGTAGATGTATAGAACTGGTTGCAGAGAGCATATATTTGAGAACCGTATACAGATCCTGAAGCCTGAGCAGTTGGGTTGACTCCCATTATATAGACAATTGTGGCAATAAACGTCATGATGCCCAGGATTGCACTCACTATTATCACAACCAAGTAGTATCTTCTTGTTCTGGACATTTCAGATCTTATAACGCTGGTAACAAATATCACCAATGTGGCAATAAAACAAAACGCAGCCATGGACAACATGAAGCCCTTTGCTGCTCTTGGATCCGTGTAGCCTCCTCCATAGCCATAACCATAGCCATAGCCGTAGCCATAGCCATAGCCATAGCTACCAAAGCCACTTCCCAGGTAAGTAGTTCCATAGGTTCTGTCCCAGGCAAGTGTGGAGGCGACACAGGCAAATATGGCAATGCACATCACAATAATGATCATAGACAGAATCCGAATCACTCCTGGTGGAGAGGTCCATTTGTAGAAGTGAAGAATTTCATCTTCTGGGTAGAAAGAATATGCAGGCTGAGACAGCATTGGTCGAACATGCATTTCTCCTCCATATACGTCATTGCTTGGTGCATAATGATTTGGTTTGCTGAAATGCACATGAAAACAATTACAAGTTAGCACTTTTTGGTGGTAAACAGAAAGAATGTATAAAGTACTTGGAATAATTTAAACAAACCACTGGTAAATGAAACCGTAATTACTGCCCCAGTGAACAGAAAAGGTATCTGTGCATCGGAATCACCTGGAGAGTGTGTTAAAACAGATAGACCCTCAGCTCCAGAGCTGCTGATTCTGCAGGTCTGGGGTAGGACAAGTTTTTAGATAATGCTGATGCTGCTGGTCTTAGAAACATACTTTCAGAATGACTCATCTGGTATGTTATGGAGCAAAGGTTCTCAAAATCTGCTCCATATTAGTATGACCTGGGAAATGTCTAATATTCTTAAGATGGAACACACCATACCAGTTAAATCTTAATCTGTGGAAATGGGAGCCATGTTTTAGAACAATGGTGTCAATCTTTTTGCCTATGTGTCACCAGACCATTGCATTCAGACAAAATGTCTACACTGGCCTATCCAGAGTCATGTGCAATTCCTGGAAGCATCGCTGTCTTACTTAAGAAAGCACAGTCAGGGGCCGGCCTGGTGGCGCACTGGATAGTGCGCCGCTTGGGAAGCGTGGCGGTGCTCCCGCCCAAGGGTTCGGATCCCACATGCGGACCGGTTCCCGCTCACTGGCTGAGCGAGGCGCGGGGGCAACACCGAGGGTTGCGATCCCATTGCCGGTCCCCGGTCCGGTACGGGGGTGACACTGAGGGTTGTGATCCGTTGCCGGACACGGAAAAAAAAAAAAAAAAAAGAAAGCACAGTCATTCATTCATTCATTCATCTGACAGCTATTTACTGGAGTTGCCAAGCTGACGTGTGCTGGGTTCTACTATGCTAGATAGTAGGAATGTGACAATAAACAGGACAGTCTCACTCCAAAGTTTAGTCTCTGTCAAGGGAGTAAGATATTAAGCAAATCACAACATGATCTATAGTTACAGTTATGGCAAGAAGTACAAAGTAAACCAAATATGTGATGAGAACTCATCAGGGTAACTGGGATCTTGAATCTCCTTTATAAAAAAACACTTTGCAAATCCCAATAATTTAATCATAAATAGGCTGTGACAAGACACACTGATGTGTGGCCACACTGAATCTAAGAACTATGGGCCCGGGGAAGCAAAATCCAATTCCTAAACTGACCCCAGCCCCTTCTGTTTCTGCTATCATTTCTACACACCACCTTCCTCACTCCCAAGCAAGATGTCTTACTATGCTGACCACGAGAATTCAAAGAAATTATTTGAGAGAAAGAAAACAAAAAAGAAACAGGGAAACTACAGAAAACACTGATAAGCTGCTCTTTGAAAATGTCAAGCATAAAATTTCTACAACCCAACCCACTCAGACATTTGGGTTGTCTCTGTTTGGGGGTACTGTGAACGATGTAGCTTTGAATATCCTTGAACATGTATTCTGATACACAAAAGCACTTATTTTTCTAGGATGTTATACCCAGGAATGGAATTTCTGGATCACAAATTTTTTTATCTTCAGCTCTACTAGACAATGTCAAACTGTTTTCCAAAGTGACTGTACCAATCATACTATCAACAGTGTAAAAGTGCACAGCAGAATTGCTTATGATAATCCAAAGCAAGAAACAGTCCAAATGTCCACCTACAGTGGAACAGGTAACTGTGATGTATCCATACAACGGAATGCTACAGAGCTGTGCTGTGCCATGTGGCAGCCACCAGCCACATGGGTCTGTGAAGCACATGAAATGTGGCTTGTCCAAACTGAGATGTGCTCTTAAATGTGTAAAATACACAGTGGCTTTCAAAATTATAGTATGAAAAAATAATGTAAAGTATCTCATGAATCATTTTTTTCTTTAAAAAAATTTTTTTACTTATATTTTTTATTTATTTTTATTATTCTAAGATTTTGTGGATGGGAGGGAGAGAAGGGAAACAGGAGGAGGATACAGTGGGAGGAGGAAGGAGGGGGGGGGACATGGTCAAGGCCCGTGGGACACCCCCTCATTCCAGCAAGGGAGCCCAGGGGCCTTCCCACGGCAGCTTGGTCCTGGATGGGCTGGATGCAAATATCAGTGGGGCGTGGTTGAGGCCCTCAGCCCTCAACCACCCTGGCTTGGGAGCCCGGGTGCTTACGATGGTGGTGGCTCATGGTCTCGCTGGGTTGGAAGTGGAAACTGGGGAGCTGGCTAAGGCCCTCAACCCTCCCACCCCGGCTTGGGAGCCCAGGGGGCTGGGCTTCCAGTCCTTTTAGGTTTTTTAGGTGTTGTTTGGTGGTGTTAGACCTTTACTAGTTAATATCAGAACTTTGTCTCTGATCCATGGGCTTTTTATTTTTCTTTCAGTTCTGTGCTGGATTATTTGCTGTTCCCACCACTTAAACTCTGCACTGGTATTAATTTGTTACCCTTTGGTTACTTCTAAATTGGGGGAACTTCCAGTGGGAACCAGTACTTGAACTATGTGGTTGAGCTAAGTTGCTGCTTTGCTGCTAATTCCCTGGGGAAGGCTCTTTGTGCAGCTCAGGTTTTAACTGTTGACGCTGTAAGCATTTCCAGGTCTCATGAGGTCCAGTACATCTGGCTTGTGTAGATGGTTTAGGCCCAAGTCTTTTCAGAAAACTGCACCCCCTGCAATTCTATATTCCCGACCAGTCTCTACTGAGTGGGCCTGTGCTGACTGGAGGGCAGATCAGCTGTCCATGCTGTGCCCCAGTGTTCCTCCAGTGGGCCATCTCCCCAACTACCTGCACTACAAACACTTTCTATGGGACGGGCCATGTGCTGGTTCCTTGCAATGACCCACTAGCCTGAGTGGCTCCCTTTTTCAGTTGTCTGTGGCCCCTCACTCCTAGGTGGGTCCACAGGAACGCTGTTAGTCATCTTGCTGGCCTGGGGGCCACCAAAGCCCTCTTCTCCCCTGCCGCCTCCAAGCAACTTCATACAAAGGGCACAGCAGTGGCTTTTTCCTTGTGCTCACCAGGGCCACCCTTGAAGTGGTCAGGACAGTCCTTTCTTTAATTGTGGCTTTTCCTGCCTTCATGAACTCTGTAGGTTTCTCCTCTTCCCCTGAGCTCTAGTGGGCCCAGCTTGGCTGTCATTGCTTTTTAATAGTTGTAGATTGGTTGATTTGTGGGAGAGGGTGACCCTGGGGACCATCTATTCCTCCATCTTGATTGGAAGTTCTCATTAATCATTTCTTATACCAATCACATGTTGAATCAGTATTTTAGATACACTAGATTAAGTGAAATATATTACTCAAATAATTTTCTCCTTTTATTTTTAATGCAGTTACAAGAAAATGTAAAGTTACATATATGGCTCACATTATATTTCTATAGTGCTATGAAGCAAAAAATGATAAACTCTACATGCAACTACATGGATAAATCTTATAGGTAATGCTGAAAGAAATAAGACAGAAAAAATACATACAGCATTATTACATTCATATAAAGTTCAAAAACAAGTAAAATTAAACTGAATTGTTTAGGATGTATAAGGTACTGAAATAATTTTAGAAAGCAAGTGATGACCCTACCAGGGAAAACAAGAGGACACAGGGAAGGACTTGGAGGTGTTCCATTTCTTGACCTGGGTGATGAGTGCAAGGATGTTTGCTTTGTCCTTATTCCTCATCTAATACATACGTTCTGTGCCCTTTTCTATATATATGTCATAGTTCACCATTGCTTACAAAAGCAACACAAAATAAGTATCAGATTAATGAAGCACTACTCAATTACTGTATTCTCCAGTATATTTTAAGGACGATGTCAATAAACAACTGTGTCCCTACCATGTTCAGGTACTAGTTAAGGACTCTACATAATTGAAATGTGACCCCCATGTGATATTGTGAAATATATATTTGGTCTTCTCCCTTTCCTGGCATATAACTCCTAAAATCCTTGGAACCTCCAAAGTAGTAAGTGTCTTTCGTATGCTAATGAGTTGACCGGTGGCTGGCAGCCCATAAGTAGCTTCAGGATAATCCCACGAAAGACCAAGGCACGATTAGAGGGTTGAGACTTTTCAGCCCCACCCCTCAACCTCTGGGAAGGGGGAGGGGCTGAAGGTTAAGTTGATTACCAATGGCCATTGATTTAATCAATCATGCCTATATAATGAAGCCTCCATAAAAACCCAAAAGAACTGGGTTGAGAGCTTCCGGATAGCTGAACACACGGAGATTCCTACAGGGTGGCATAACCAGAGAGGGCACGGAAGCTCTATGTCCTTTCCCACATTCCCAGCCGTATCCATCTCTTCATCTACTGTTCATTGGTATCCTTTGTAATATCCCTTACAATAAACCAGTAAAGGTAATTGTTTCCCTGAGTTCTGTGAGCTGTTCTAATGAATTAATTGAACCCCAGGAGGGGGACATGGGAATCCTGACTTATAGCCTAAGTCTGACACACAGGCCATAAACTGTTCTTACTATTGGCATGTGAAGTGCAAGGGAGTAGGGGGTGGGGAAGTCTTATGGCACTGAGCCTCCAACCTGTGATCTGATGCTATCTCCAGGTAGACAGTGTCAGAATTGAATTGAACTGGAGGACTCTCAGCTCGTGTCTATTATAGACCTGATTGTTTGGTTGCTTATCGGGAGAAATTCCCAAACATTTTAGTGACCAGAGGTCACAGAAGTGTTCTGGATTGTGTTGTGGCAGTGTAGTAGGAGAACCTGAGTGAATTGAACTGGAGGACTCTCAGCTCGTGTCTATTATAGACCTGATTGTTTGGTTGCTTATCCGGAGAAATTCCCAAACATTTTAGTGACCAGAGGTCACAGAAGTGTTCTGGATTGTGTTGTGGCAGTGTAGTAGGAGAACCTGAGATTGTTTTTTCCTACATTATACCCCACTATACTTGTAGAGCTAGAGCTGGGTCTAGAGCTCACAGACCCCTCAAGCCCATTGTCCAGACTGTGTCACAAACCCTTCACACACCAGGCTGGGTCTCCAGACCCCTCACATGCCAGGCTGGATCACCAGACCTCTCACATGCAGGTCTATGAGCTAGGTGACCAGCAAAAAGGTCCTTGGAGCCACAGGATGGAGAACATGGCTGCATGGGGCAGACACCCAAGGCAGTCAATGCCAGCCAAGGTGGCAGCACCTGGCAGGCGCACTAACTCCACCCACACACAACTCATTTACAAAGAATGGGCCGCACCACCCCCAACTGGACCTAAGGCAATGGGGTCTGATTATTCTATTTTCCCAACAACATTTATCAAAGAGTTAAAGCTACAAACTACTTAAAAGAAGAAATTCCTATCAATGTTGATAGCAAATTTAAAATTTAAGAATTTACTAATAAATCCCCAAATGACAAAGGACCCCAAGATCCCTTAACTTTACTTGTTTTACATAACGGCAGAAACCACTCTTAAAATTGACAATATGGAAAACATTTTGCTAAGTCAAAGAAACCAGTTACAAGAGGCCACATATTATATGATCCCATTTTATATTAAATATCCAGAATACACAAGTCTGTAGAGACATAAAGTAGATTGGTGGTTGCCTAGGTCTGGGGAAATTGGGAAGGTAGATTTCTTTAGAGGGTGATGAAAATGTTCTAAAATTAACTGTGGTGATAGCTATACAACTGTGAATATGCTAAAAACCATTGAACTGTCCATTCTAAATGGGTAAACTGTATGATGTGTGAATTATAAATAAAGCTGTTATCTTAAAAACTTGACAGTATGTTGTCAACGGCCATTTAAACAAGGCATTAATATGGAAGCTTCATACCATTTGTGAAAAACAAAAAGGAATAAATATACAAATATAAACCTAGACAACCTCTTGAAGCAAACACTAGAAACAGGTAAAGCAGCTGCCTCCCAGAGAAAAGCTGTCATCTTGGAAGTGAAGAGTAACAGGGAAATTCACTTTTCACTGCATACCTTTGGTACAATTTAAATTTACAAGTGCACACGTTATTTTTAAAAGCAAATAAACACTTAATAGATGAAAGTTTCAACCATACATAGTTTTTACATGTAACAGTCTTTAAAAAAAAAAAAAAACAAAGAAAAGAAAAACACTGAAAGAGTTATTTACTTACAATTCATCAGGCCTGTAAGGAGGTGGACTTTCAAAAGGCCTCGATGACATGGCTGACTTCAATGGTCACCTGATCTTCAGGAGGAGCAATACCTGGTAAGCTCCCAAGATAGGCCAATCTAAGCAACAAAAGTAGGGTAACAGCATTACAACTGAGCTCAGGGTTTCCTCGCACCACTAAGAAACTGAGTGCTACCAATCTCTAGGTAGCCGCTAACTCCACAGTTATTTCTCTTGTCCTTTCCAATGCCATTTTGATAAACGGCACCTGGAGCACAGGAAATCATTAAGCACAGGAATGAGTCTGCCTGGTATTCCTCATAGCACGTACCCACGTTCTGCACATCCCTGGCATACAAATACTCTTTAAACTTGAAATTCTAAGTTATAGCAATCATCATTTCACAAATTATCATCTTATAGCATAGGTAAAAATGATATTTTTAAAGCAGTCACTTCAAAGAAAAAAGATGTATAAAGAAAAAAATAAAATTTTTCAAAATAAATTATTTCATATTACTACTTTTGAAAGTTCACAGAAAATGAGAATGCATATGACAGTGCCTATATAGTAGCATCTAACCCCTCAATGTTAATTACAGCATAACCTAATTGGTTAAAAAGTATGCCTTTATCATAAAAATTATTACAAAATGTATCTCTGAATAGTGGAATTGTGGATATTTTTCCCTTATCTCCTTTTCCAATTCTTCAAAGTTGAGTATAATGTTTACAAAAGGGGAAAACCACTGAATACACGTTGTATTAAAGAGTCCTTTTCTAAGAGAAAAGCAGGATGATTTTGTTCTAAAATTCCTCAGAGCACAAATTCCTAAACATCTGAGAGGCAATTTCACTTCATCAACTGGTACAGGCCTCAACTACAAGAAGAAGTGCAGCCTGGGGGTGACCAGGGGAGACTTCAAGATGAAGAGCCGGAAGCTGGGTCCTGCAATGAAGGAATGGCATCCAAGCTGGTGGGGTGCTGATATGCATATAGCTGGTTCAGGGTACAGTGAGGAGAGCAGCAGAGATATGTTGGAATGGTGTTGTCTCTTAAAATAAGGCTATGGTGAGAATATGGAGGGCTTTGAAAGTCTTCTGGGAGTTTCTCATCTCATTCAGGCAGGAAATAGGGAGCCAGTTCATGGTTCTCAACAGGGAGGTATAGAAGTTTGACTTGAAGGACAAGGTGGACAGGGCTGGCCAATTAGCTCAGTTGGTTAGGGCATGGTGCTGATGACACCAAGGTCCAGGGCTCAATCCCTGTACCAGCCACCCATCAAAAAAAAAAAAATTATATATATAGGACAAGTGGAGAGAGTAGAAAGGAACACATGGAGTCCACAGCAGCAAACCCAGTGTGAGGTGCCAGTGAAGGACTAGCTTAGGCCGTAGGAGAGGGGAAGGAAACTAACATTCAGCAGCTACCCACCCACATGCCAAGTGCTTTACATAAAATCCTCATTTCATTACAGATGCAGAGCTAAAAATAAATACATGAGAAAGGGATGTGAATAATGAGTCACTGAAGATGTACCCTGAACCCAGATCTCATGAGCTTTCCACTATTACAGCTTTAGAAAAATGAATTCCATTTGGGACATACTAGCTTTTGTACAGAGCTGACATTTGGTATTAATGTCCACGAGACAATTAAGCTGGAAGTCATCTGTCTAGGTCCATAGATGGATCCATGGGCACTAAGAGCTCTCCAGGAAAAAAAAACTCACCAGTCTTATCTCAGTGACATGTGCTAAACACACAAGCCCCAAACCTAAAAAGTCTGAGGTTTATTCTAGAAAATCCAGGACTGGAGACACTGGCAAGGTCACCACATTAGCTACAACACTTCGCTTCTCTCCTGTTAAGTATACTGAACCAGAAATAAATTCTTTCCAGGTTACACCAGTGATCAGTAAAGAAGGGAATTTTGAGATCCACTAGAAGGTAAACTCCATGTAAACAGAAATTTTTGCCATTTTTGTTAACTGATTAAAACAATGCCTGGCACATGGTAGATGTGCAAATATTTGTTGAATGATTACACAAATCAGATTGGACCATGGATATTTTTGCCTGCAAAACCTCTTGTGTTTTCAGGTTGAAGGTAATGGAAAAATATCAGATTAACGTTACAAGGCATTACCCCTGAATGACACTTGAGCAAGATCTATAATCCGAATATATTAAAGTGTCTGATATTTTTTCCTTTTCAAGTAAGGTCTGTGCAATTGTACATTACTATGTTAGGAACAGTAAATCAACTGAAATTCTTTAAAATTAATAGCGGGGGGTATGAGAACTATCTGTACTTCCCACTCAATTTCTCTGTAAATGTAAAACTGCTATAAAAGTAAAGTCTATTACTTAGAAAAAAATAAAACAAAAGGCAATTCTCTTCCACATCCTTAAGGACAGTCAATTACAAATCTCTCAGAATAAAACACTGCCCAATTGTATATTAGATAAAACCTCAAAGATGGAAATATATTGAATGTTAGTAACACCAACACAATTAGTATAATGTTCCTAATACAGTGAGGGAAGACAATTTCTCTTCATTCTTTTCTAAAAAACACTTTATTGAAATATAACATAAAGTTATATTATATATAACATAACATAAAGTTATATTATATTATAAGGGAAGACAATTTCTCTTCATTCTTTTCTAAAAAACACTTTATTGAAATATAACATAAAGTGCACCAATCACAAGTGTACACAGCCCTGTCACCAGCATCCACGTCAATTTCTCTCTATTCTAATAGTGGTAAAACACACATATAAATGAGTAATTTATGCCCAAATGTTATGGTATTATGAAAGGGTAAATGTCCACATGAAGTGCCTTCCTAATTGATGTTCAGAAAGGAACATTAAGAAAAACTGAACTTAAAAACACTTACTTCAAAAAGTTCATGGAAAAAGAGGGAAAAAAAGATAAGAATCTTTCCATTAACTTTTTGAAGACCCCTCGTACTAAATGTGGGACCCTATTTCTGAAGCTGAATGTCAAATAATGACAAATATTGACCAAGGATACTACGATTCCCTCATTCAAGACTATCCTCCAAATTCCAGGCTCATGGGAGTTTCTAAACACTCTAAATCCAGACTCAGGCTGAAGTTGTTTAGAAATACAAACAAAATCCCTTTTCAAACCGCGTTTCCTAGATTCAGAGTTTAGATGTCATGTCTCCCCTAACAGCGGACATTTTAAACTATGAATCAAATAATTTCAGAAAGCTCATTAAGAACAAGTCATACCACACCAACTTCATTTCCTTTTCTGAGAAAGTTACCAGACCAGTAGATGAAGGGAATGTAAGGAGAAAGAATCCTGGGAATCTTGAGTACATCCTGGTGTGGTTGGTCGGATTCCAAGGGGCTGAATAATGACACCTAATTAGCATGAAAGAATGGACCGTTTATGTCCACCTGGATGGAGATCTCTAGTGGTGACGGCAGACAAAGTGGAGGGGACAAGCTCAACCAGATCTGCAGCTGACCAAACACTGGAAAGGATAACTAATCCAGAGTAGGGGGTCCATTAACTCTGAGCAAGATCTCCCTAAGGTCAGAAAGATGGATTAAAACAAGCCCAGTGGTTGTAAAAGCCTGCATTTACTAGCTCACAACTGGACACAAGTTCCTCATCTTCTCAGAGCCTCTTCTTAGAGCCTCTGTGCCCTCCTCTGGGGTTTGGGGTAGGGGGTGGAGGGAGAGAATGATCCTGACCTCTGGGCTAGGATAAGTAAAGAAAATTAACAAATACATTCACAAGAAGGTGGTTATCCTGAAAGTGAGAAATTTCAGTGCTTAAGCACTTAGGCATATTGTATCCATTTTCAAATATTGGTGGCATGAATAAATCATTTAAAAAATGTAAACTCAATTCAAAAAAATCAATAAGTATAGGATAAAGGAGACCTGGCTTAATAGCTGTTCATTTTTAAAAGTGCATTTCTTTAGTAAGAATTTCAGCAAAAGCCGACAAGCTATTCCAAACTTAGGAAGTATTCATAGAAATAGTGCTCAGATGTAGGAATGATACAGTTATAAAAAGAAAAAATCAAAACCTGAAATTTGTACAGCATATTCTAAACTAGGTGCCTCTCCAGGAGGGTGACTAAGATTGTTAAGGATCTAGAAAAACCATATCTTAAATGATTGGGAAAACAGGAAATGTTTGGCCTGGAGAACTCAACATTAGAAGGACCACAATGGCAGCCCTGAAAAATATTTGAAGAGTTGTCTTTATAGTCCCAGAAATGGTTAAAAAACAAAGCAAAAACAAAATCCACAGGGTCACATTTCATCTCAATGTTAGGAAGTCTCTCCCTCACCCTTACCCCACACCCCCTCCAAAAATAATAAATAACAATTTGAGTTCATGCCATTTTTGCAAAGCTTAAATTATTTGATATTTTTTTAGAGACTGGACTGGAGGACTTCTAAGGTCTCTTTCAAGACAGAGTCTGAATGTGCTTTGAGGCCAGAAGCCAAAGGAAAAAGAGGACCAATGCTTGGCACAGCAACATTAACAGTACCTGGTCCATAAACATGCGTTGAGTGAAGGGAAAAACAAAACGAGGAGTGAAAAGGCCACTAGATTTGGCCTAAGGGGCCCACTGGTCACCTTCACAAATCTATGACAAGGACAGAAGTCTGACAGCTAAATTAGAGTCAGGGACAAAAGGGAAGCCATGATCCTTGTTGAAAATGTTAAGCTGAAAATCAGCATCTCAAGCTAATGTGAAAATTTTAAAAATTATTTCCCCTTGAAAATGTTTACTAGCCGAAAGCTGTCTTTTTTTTTTTTTTTTTTTTTTTTTTAAAGATGACCGGTAAGGGGATCTTAACCCTTGACTTGGTGTTGTCAGCACCACGCTCAGCCAGTGAGCGAACCGGCCATCCCTATATGGGATCCGAACCCGGGGCCTTGGTGTTATCAGCACCACACTCTACCAAGTGAGCCACGCGCCGGCCCCCGAAAGCTGTCTTAACAGAAAACTAACCTAAGATAAAAAAAAAAGTCTGAAAATGCACTTTGCTCTCAAATTATTCAAAGAAAACTATCAGTAAGTGAAAAATAAACTTTATTATATTTAGAGTCTGTTCCTTTCAGCTCACATGCAGCAAGCCAATCTACCTTTAAAAAGTTTAAGTTGGGGGCCGGCCCAGTGGCGCACTGCTACAGTGCGCCGCTTGGAAGCAGCGGCGCTCCCGCCGAGGGTTCGGATCCCACATGCAGACCGGCCGCTCACTGGCTGAGCGAGGTGCGGGCGCAACACCGAGGGTTGCGATCCCGTTGCCGGTCACGAAAAAAGACAAAAAAGGAAAAAAAAAAAGTTTAAGTTGTGGGCCGGCCTCGTGGCTCATTCAGGAGAGTGGGCACTGAGGCCACAGGTTCAGATCCTATATACGGATGGCTGGTGTGCACACTGGCTGAGCGTGGTGCAGACCACACCGTGCCGAGGGTTGCGATCCCCTCACCAGTCAAAAAAAAAAAAGTTTAAGTTGTGACTGATATGAAATGATTCTATTTAGATTATAGGCACATCATTAGTAAATTGCCTAAAATTTTGAAATTAGGCAGATTTTGAAATAGGCCGTCAGAAATAGCATTTTTAATAAGCTCTCCAGATGATTTTTAAGCAAACCATATATTTTGAGAATCGCTATTTAAAATGAAGGTGTCACTCAAGGAGGACCTTGATCTTCCAGGTTCCAGTCTAGAAAACCTAGATCTTCACACAGCAGACACCTGCCATTCACACCCCAGCTCAGAGATGCCCTCCATCACATCAAATTTGTTTTATTTTCAGAGCGAATTTCCTCCCTCATACCTAAAACAATTCTTTGTGTTTTACTGCCACCATCTCCACCCCATCTGGAATGCCAGCTCCACAAGCACTCAGATGTCTGTCCTAACTATCACTTATCCCTGGTCTCTAGAACCAGTCCCCGGCACAAAATGATGTTCAATCGATATTTGATTAATAAAACCAATAGCCTATATTAGAATCGAGATTTCAATCCTGGCCTTGAAATTCTTCACACAACAAAATTAATGTATTTTTTCAAGTTCAGTTCAGCAAAAATAGTTAAGTGCTTACAGTCTGAGGGAAAGAAGAAAAAAGGACAGGCATCTATAGGAAAGGCAGAAGCCCAGGCCCCACCCCTGACCTGTGAATCAGAATCTGTATTTTAACAAGATCCCTAGGTGATTCCTACAGAACAGTGGCAAGCATAGAGGCTAAAACAAAACGTGTAACAAAAATCTGCACGGTCTTTGTACTCTATTTCTATAAACAGTAATTTGGATGAAAAAAGCCCACTAAATATTCTAATCAAGTAAGCCTTAAAAATGCAATTGATGAAAACTTTCCTCTGTGAAGTTCCTGGGAAGGTTAAAGATATTATATCGATTCACATATGTGGTTAAAAGCAGTACTTTGAAAAGGCAGTAATTCCAACATCATCTTTAGAAGAAAACAGGAGGAATTTTACCTTTACATCAAGCAAAACTTATACCAAGCCTTAGGAACTAGCAGACGGTAGGGAAGTCCAGAAAAACTCCCCAAATCTGGTTGTGGTGCTGGAATAGCAAGGACTGCTGTTTCTGATATACCTTCCCTGATCAGCTAAAGCAGTTTGCAAGCCAGCCTACCAGTCATCTGTTTCTCCAACAGGCATTTACACAACTTTAAAATAGATTTCTAATAAGATCTCCCTTTTAGAGATGGTGGGATGACTAAATTAAATAAATGATAAAATGATTTTGTAAAATGCTTTTTAACACAGTGCCTCACAGAAGGCACTGCCCATCATTTCCCTAAATAGCCTGGAAGCTGCCCAAAGACAGAGAACCTGCCCTGCCCTAACCTACCTTGCTATTACTCCTCTCAATCACCTAGGAAAGGTGGACCAAATAAATAAATAAATAAATGCAAAACAACAAGAAAAAAGTGTTGCTTTGTCTGAGGAAATATCTAGTCCTGTGGCTCTCCCATTTAAAATGTCTATTTTAAAACACCAGTAAGAAAATGAAGGTCCGTGTGTACACTGCCTAGTTTGAGAAACCTACCTCTGTCTGGAGCTAGTTTTCAATCACAACAAGAATCAACACAAGAATAGTTTGAGAAACCTACCTCTGTCTGGAGCTAGTTTTCAATCACAACAAGAATCAACACAAGTGCCTTAACGAGAAAGGTTTCTTTTTTCCAGGGATCCCAATAATACACTTGTGCGTTAGGGCCGCACGCTAACCTGCCTGGAAAGCATCCTCCTCCCGACCCCAGTAATTCTCCAGGTGAGCAGTTTGCCCAGCGAGCCCCACGGCTGGCCTGAGGATGCGGCGGCTTCTTTCCGAGCTCAGCCGCTTCACCTGCGACGCGAGGGGCTCGGAGTTACTCCAGGCTCAAGGTGCAGGGGCCAGTTCAGCCCTTCAGCCCACCCCTCCTGGCACACTTCCTCCGACGCAGCAACACGTCTTCTGGCTGCGCGCGGGGCTGGCCCTTCCCCGGAGGTCTCAAAACACTGTGGCCGTGCGCCCCGCGGCGCTCAGAGGCACCTGGGCCGTACGCGCCGGCTGAGCACGCACTGCTGCGAGGCAGGTCCGGCAGCCTTTTTTGTTCACGGGTGAGAACCCGAAGCGTAAACAGCTTCCCTCGAAGTCCAGCCTCACTCGAAACGAAGTCCCCGTCCCCAGCTTAAATCGATGAGGGTTCACACAACTCCCGCTAAACAAATTCAAAATAGCCAGCGTGGCCCGCACCGTGACTCCAGGAATACCTCACAGATTAACACTGGCCACCCCCTCTCCCCGGGATACCCAAAGGGGTGGGGTGGGGGGCAGAAATAATGAAGTCCCCCCAGCATGAAACCGCCCCGGCCGGCGAGCGGCCCCCTCGCTCCAGCCCTCGGACTCAGCACCTCCAGGGAGATGGGCGCCGCGGCCCCTGCCTGGCGACCCCACAAAACTGCAGCGCCCAGAGCTGAGCGCAGCATTCTCGCTGTTCACGGCGAAAAGTTGTCTGCGCCGTCCAGGCACGGGTAGCTTAGCGTTTCAGCCGAACTACGCTGATCGGTGGCTCCAACTCTCCCCTCGCCCAGGCAGGCAGCCTCCCAAGTGACAGGGTGTCGCTCTCTCGGCGGACCGCGGTCCCCAGTTCAGGGGCGAAACCGCCACCGAAACCAGCGCCGAGCGTCCTCCCCCATCGTCTCCGCTCCCAGCTAGAGGCGCCGCGGTCCCCCCGCGGGGACCCTCGCGCTACCCTGCGTCCCCGACGCCGCGCCCAACTCTCACCCACTCACCGCAACTGGACCCGACCCACCTGGGGGGGGGGGCGCAGCAGCCAAGGAGCGCGCTCACCTGGCGGGCGCACCTCACGCCCCGGGAGCCGCCACCGTGCAGCCTGGCACCGGACTGGGGACTCAACCCTCCCCCTTTCCTCCCTTCCCCCCTCCTCCTCCCCACCCCGGTCGCCCTGCCCCCCTGCCCCCGGGCATGCGCACCAAAGCCAGGCGGGGGGGTGCGGTGCGGGAGGCCCGCGGCCACCGCCCGGGCGAACCCCACCTGCTGCGCACTTGACCGGCTACTCTGTGCGTGCTCTGATCAGCTCTCCCGGGACTCCAGCTGCCTCCGCCAGACGAAGAAGGGAGGGGGCGGTGGACTCTAGCTAGAAGGTGCGGTGTGGCCGGCCTTCTCCCGCGGTGACCCATTCACCTGAAACTCGCATCGGGCGGGGGAAGGGAGCGCTGGAAGAGGAGGCGGGAGGACCCGGCCCTTCCCCGCACACCCTTGCAGCGCGCAGTTAAAGGAACAGCGCCGCGTTTCGGCCTGAACGCCGGGGGCGGGGCGCAGAGGAGGGGCTCAGGCTCCCCAGAGTTACAGGGTGGTCCTGGACTGCCCTGGGGCGCGCCCGGAGCTCCGCCTGCTTCGGGTAGAGCCGCGGAGTGTTTGTCAGGGAGAGGCGGAGTGAGGTCTGGAGAAGACTACTTTCCTCCTCCAAGAGGGTCCAAGGGTGCTCAGTACTTTGGTAAGAAAGGCACGTCCTCAAGCGACACTTTCTTGCTCTCAAAATTGGTCTAAACTTGTTGGAAAAGAATATCCAGATGTGTTGCTCCAATGAAAGACTCCCGGAAATTTTCCAAAAGTCATGCATAAATATAGAAGCTATTTCTGAATTTCTGCATTTAGGAAAAGACCATTACTCAGAGTGGTTAAAATGAAGGTAAACTACTGTAGATGCTGATGTCAGTCAGTTCGCCATCAAGCAAGATAAAGTGCACGCTACAGTTTACACATCACCTCAGGGTCCTCTCCTCCCTACCCGTGCGCCAAGTGTAACCGTGGTATGATTGAGAGTCTGCTCTTGGGGGGATTTAAACTATTTTAATATTCTCTTTGGCTTAAAAAAGAAAATAAAAAACCTTAGTCTGGTTACTGTGTTCTGTTTCTTGATCTGGTTGCTGGTTCCCAGGAGTGGTCACTTTGGAAAATTCATAGTCTACGCTTAACGATGTGTACACTTTTATGTATGTATGTTGTATTTTTCAATATCTTTTAAAAATTGTACTCCAGGATGTAGCAGTTCTAGTTCTTGCAATTTAACTTTCTGCAATGAAGGCTAGAATTTAGATTTCTTAAATCCTGCTTCCCTTTGTATTCCAATCTGGAATGTCAGCATTGCTAATAAATTTCTGTCCAGTCCCACCCACTTTTCTGCCTGTAATTAAGTGGTTAGAGATGTGACTCTCCCAGACATTAGATCTAAAGGCATATTTCAATACAATTAAATACTGAAGGAAGTAAAAGCATTACATAAATATAAAGTATCTTAAATAATGACAGCCTTAATGGGTAATTAATCTAATTGATATTTTTTTCATGGAAGTCGTTGCTACAATTACTTTAATATGACTGTGTAGTTTTTGAATGATGCAGTTTAAATTGGTATTAACGTGGGGAAGTCAGGTTAATCCTCTTAATGTTCGCTGTCAGATTACTGAAATCTCCAACATTCCACTTGGTTTATAATTAAACAAGGGAACATTTCCTAATACTCTCAGATTTGTAAACAGACATCTATTAGTTTATAATGTATTTTGACATGTTCCAATGAGGAGATCTTAGGAGTTATTTTCCACTTTTATAAAAGAGAAATATGGGCCATCCCGTGGCTCACTCGGGAGAGTGTGGTGCTGATAACACCGAGGCCCCAGGTTCGGATCCCATATACGGATGGCTGGTTGGCTCACTGGCTGAGCATGGTGCTGACAACACCAAGTCGAGGGTTAAGATCCCCTTACCGGTCATCTTAAAAAAAAAAAAAAAAAAAGAGAGAGAGAGAAATATAATTCACATTCCATAAAATTCACACTTTTAAAGTGTACATACTATTTAATGGTTTTTAGTATATTCACAAGGTTGTACAACCATCATCAGCATCTAATTCCAAAACATTTTCTTCACCCGAAGAAGAAACCCCATACCCATTAGTGGTCACTCTCCAATTCCCCCTTCTGTCCCCCCAGCCCCTGATAACCACTAATGTACTTTCTGTCTCTATTGATTTGCCTGTTCTGGACATTTTATGTGAATAGATAATACAATGTGTGGCCTTTGTGCCTGGCTTCTTTCACTTAGCATAATTTCTCAAATTTCATCCCCCTAGTAGCACATATCAGTTTTTTTTTTTTTTTTTTTTAATTTAAAAGACTTTCTTTTTCCAGGTAGGAAGACTACAAAGTTAGAAATTTTACCAGGGTCTAACAATACCCTTGTTTCTTCAAATAAATAGGCACAGCCTTTTAAAATCTGGATTGTCCTCAGTCATTCCTTTTTATGGCTGAACAATGTTTCATTGTATAGATATACCTATTTTGTTTATCTGTTAATCAGTTGATGGATGTTTGGGTTGTTCCTCCTTTTTGGCTATTATGAGTAATGCTACTATTAATATTCGTGTACACATTTTTGTGTGGACATATGTTTTCTTGAGTAAATTAGGTTCTTAAACTTACTTTAAGAGAATAATTTATGTATATCATGTTATTTCTCTTATTCCCATCCTAAACCTAAACCCAAAGGCATATTGTATTAGGTGGAAGGTTAGTCTTCACATTTTGTTTGCTTTCCTAATTCATTCCTTCAACAACTGGTTTTTGTTTGTTTGTTTGTTTGTTGGCAGCTGGCTAGTACAGGGATCAAACCTTAGGCCTTTCTGTTATCAGCACCATGCTCTTACCAACTGAGCTAACTGGCCAGCCCTCAACAACTGTTTTTTGAGTGCCTACTCTGTGCACAGTATGAACAAAACCCAAAAATGCCTGTCTTACTTTCTAGTTACCGCTAAATTCATGCATATGAAATAATAGGATGTATTAAGTTGAACTGTATGAAATTGGCAATATTTAATCATTTTTAATGGCAAAATTGGCAACTTCATATGGTTCAACTTAATACTAAACTAAATTTTTGTTGAAATGTTGTATACCATTTTTATTCAGTTCAGATTAATTTTCCAAACAATGCTCACAACATTTAAAGGTCTAAAATCTGTTCTTTTAACTATTCCCCAATATTGTGCGTATTAGGTAGTAGTTGAAAGTATATGGAAAGAAAATCCAACCTTACTACTTAAACACATCATTCTTCAATAACAAAACAAAATTTAGGGCCGGCCCGGTGGCGCACTGGATAGGTGCGCCGCTTGGGAAGCGAGGCGCGGGAGCAACACCGAGGGTTGCAATCCCGTTGCCGGTCCCCGGTCCGGTACGGGGGCAACACTGAGGGTTGCAATCCGTTGCCGGACACGGAAAAATAAGACAAAAGACAAAAAAAAAAAAAGAAAGTATATGGAAAGAAAATCCAACCTTACTACTTAAACACATCATTCTTCAATAACAAAACAAAATTTATTAGATGCTAAATAACACCACCTAACATGCTTAATTTAAATCATGTTACATAATCATTAATTACAGGAAATTTAATTATATTTCTACAGAATATTTCTTCTTGGTAATTTAACAGTAAGTAGTATTATCTACTATTAGACATTATTTGATGAAAATCCTCATGACTCAGAAACAAAATAAGTATTATTCCCAGAGGACACATGATTAGAAATTTGTTGATTTTAACTGCAGTTAAATGCATAAGATTAAAAAAAAAAATTGAGCTGGCCAGTCAGCTCAGTTGGTTAGAGTGTGGGGCTGATAACATCAAGGTACAGGGTTCCGTACCTATCCTGGCCAGCTGCCAAAAAAAAAAAATTTTTTTTTTTCTTTTTATATGTAAAAGAGAAAGCTAAGAGATCAGATTGTGGTGTCAGAAATCTGTGTTCAAATCTCAGTGTTGCCATTTAGTAGCTGGATGGGATTAAGGGAAATGAAATTCCCTTGATAAATGATAAAAAAAAAATGTCTGGGCTGGCTGATTAGCTCAGTTGGTTAGAGCGTGGTGTTATAACACCAAGGTCAAGGTCAAAGGTTCAAGTCCCCATACTAGGCAATCACCAAAAAAAAAACTGGGGATGATAATAAATAGAACTCTCTTTATAAGGTTGTTGGGTGGCACATGGAACATGCACCAATGTAATAGACTATGTGCTGGGCCATAAAACAAGTCTCAGTAAATTTAACAAGTTATTGCTGTATCCCAGCTGCCTGAAACAGTCCCTGTCACACAGGTATTCCATAGCTATCGTTTTTGTTGAATGAGTAAATGAATATAATCTGGATTCCCAAACCCAACATGCCTATGAAGTCTTGTCCATCTCTCAGATAGCCTCTGGCCATTCTGAAACCAGCACATTCCTTAATAGCATTTCAAGGCTTACATCTCTAGGACTAGGGCTTAGAGGAGGAAAAGAAGGGAAATTAAAATATTTCCATTCTACCTCACCTGCTTAGTGAATGAATCCAGTGATTGGTATTTGTTCAAGGGCAACTCAGTTTGGGCTTGCTGAGAGCCTGGCCTGGAAGGACTCTAGTTTCCCCACCCGATCACAAGGAGGGAGGCTCCTCATCCACAAAGGACAGTTTCCTCGGACAGATTTATGGAAGAACTTATGAGGAAGTCATCAGGAAGGCAATTTCTAAGAGGATGCTTACACTAGGTGAGTAAACCTCTGTCTCCTCTATTCCCGTGTATTAAGCAAGATCCTCCCGGGAGGAACCCAAGGTTAAACAGAGAGTCAGCACCTGAACAGGAACTTCAACAAGAGGAATATTAATAATAATAATAGCCATCATTCACTCAGTGATAAACACAAGCCAGGCACTGTGCTAAGTGTTTTATGGGCTTTAAAATTTGGGGGGGGGCCAGCCTGTGGCTCACTTGGGAGAGTGTGGTGTTGATAACAAACCAAGTCAAGGGTTAAGATCCCCTTACTGGTCACCTTTATATTAAAAAAAAAAAATGTAAACTCAATTTAAAAAATCAATAAGAGGGCCGGCCCGTGGCTCACTTGGGAGAGTGTGGTGCTGATAACGCCAAGGCCACAGGTTCGGATCCCTATATAAGGATGACCAGTTCGCTCACTTGGGAGAGCTTGGTGCTGACGACACCAAGTCAAGGGTTAAGATCACGTTACCGATCACCTTTAAAAAAAAAAAAAAGCTTTTTTTGTCTTTACAGCAACCTTATGATGTATTATTTTCCCCATTTTGCACACTGGGAAACTGAAACTCAGAAAGTTTTGA